AAATAAAGAAAATATGTATTTATACTTTACCTTTCTAAAAAAAAAAAAAAGTTGTGGAATAACTGTTAAAAAAAAAAAAAAAAAAAAAATCTATTTCTCAATCTCCAAATTACTCCTAAATAGCACACCAGTTGAATTATAGAAAGTTTGAATTCCTCAAGAAAAAAAACTTAGGAATCAGAAAAGAGCAGAAAAATTAGGAAATCATAGAGATTACATAGGATTCTAGACAAGAGCAAATGAGAATAAATTAAAAGAGTTAGGAGTAAGAATAGTAATTATGAAAAATTAGGAGAAATGCATTATGCAAATTAATAGATTCAGTAACTATTACATTGATACATTGTTACTGTTTAAAAGATACAAGTTAATAATTATTAATACTTATATCCTTCTGAGTGACAAAGAGGCAAAAAAAAAGATTCAACAATATATAATACAAAGAATCAGAGAATATAAAAGAAACAAAATATGAGTTATTATAATAGGAGACTTCAATAATATAAGATTGAAGGAGTTAGACCAAAACAAAGAAGACTTAAGTAGAAAGTAATTACTTTCTCTATTAAGATAGCTAAAGAACTCAAATCTAAAAGACTTGTATAAAAAACGCTACCTATATAAGAAAAGGTTCATATGATCAAATAGAATATTCAGTAAAAGAATTAATTATATATAGATATCAAAAGTACTAAGCCAATGTAATATAAGCTATAAAATATACTCTGCAGAGTATATTACAGAAAGTGATCATAAAATTATAGTTACAAAGCTAGATACAGATATTATGCAAAAAGGAAGATTAGTTGCAACTAACAAGTAGCTTAAAAAGAAAAAAAAAATCCTCAAGTTAGACAAAGCTTAAAATAAGAATTGGAAGAACTACAAAGCAAAGCTAGAAAAAGTAATCACAAAAGAACTAAAAATTACAGATAAATCAATATTATTAGATTATATCTGTAAAGATAAAAATATAGATAAGTTATAAAACATTATATTAAATAGTATTACTAGAAATATATATGCAATACTTCTAAACCAAAAAGTTGTAGTCTACAGTATGCTATCAAAAAAATAAATAAAAATAATAAAATTCTAAAAGACTTGAAATGTCTGAAAAAAATTTGCTACAAATATATAGAAAAGAAGAACTTCACAATAAGTGAGAATAAACAACAATAGACTAACTCTAAAATTGCTAAGCTAAATAGCAAAAATGAACTTCAAATTAATGAGTTAGTAGAAAAAAAGTAGGCAAATGAGTAGTAGCTAACTTTAAGAAATAATAAAAAATTCTTAACTTAAAAATTTAATAAGAAAGAAGAAAAGAAGAAATAAGTAAAATCAACAAGTATATTAATACTCATTGTGAAGCAATACAAGATAAACTAAAACCTATGCTTAATAGCTTGCTAAAAAGACTATCAAAAAAGATAAAAGTTGACAGAATAATAAAAACCTCAAGAGATAAGAAGATTCTGCTAATAAAGAAAAAAGAAGTATTAAATAAAATAAAATCTCATTTATGAAGCAATTTCGAAAAAGAAATATCAATAAAACTAGTCTATTAGCAAGATGAATAAAAGCATATAGTCTAATAAAGAAGATAGATAACAAAATCTATAAAGACCTATAAAAAAAAGTAACAGAAAAAAACTTGTCTAATGCTCTAAACTAGTATTACTACTAAAATTTTAGAATCCTATTAGAAGTTCAGAATCTTCTAGCCTTCTAGTAATTCTAGTAAGATTTTTCACTAAAAGAATTTTTTTTTTTTTTTTTTTTTTTTTTTAATTAAAGGCGGCTTACTATGCCAAGCAGATTTTATTAGTTTAATATATGAGGTCGTCTGTTGACAATCCCCTATAGTTTATAATTACATGAAGAGTGTACAACCTGCTACACATACAACTTTAGTTATTGTCTAATTTAAGTAGTCTGCTATACAGATAGATTACCTGTTTAGTTCTACACAAGCTGCCATACCTGTAACAGGGCCCCTGAATATGGATATGACATATATATAAAACTTTATCTTCAGCAGTTATAATAAGTGTACATAAAAATTTTAATATAAAGTGTACATATATTCTAAATTTTATTATTTAATGTACTACATATGTTTATATATAATTTTTACGTTATAATAAAGTGTACAGACTAAGTTAAATTAAAAGCAAATGAAATATACAACAAAACTTTATTAATAAATCATATGTATATTAAAGGTTATAACAGGAAAAAAACTATTTTAAAACTATTTTTTATTAGAATTAGCATTAATTTTTCTCATTCGCATAATTTTTTCTGCTTCTTTAATAGATTTCTCAAATTCACATGATTTATCAACAAAATAAAAATATGTTGCATATTGAAGATCTTCTAATTTTAGTGTTTTTCCTAACAAACGAGATGTACTCTGATATTCTTTCAATACAGAACCCAAATATCTAATGAAACGAAATGAATTAGATTTATATATAAATTGTATATGATCTTTGCATATAATGGGAATAAATTCATATCTTGAATCTGGCCTGAGATCATATAAGTGTGCATGAATTTTCTTTTATTTGAGCTAGATAATAAGTCTACACGAACATAACTTGATCTACATTTCTTAAATATTGTAAAAATAAAAAAATAAATAAAAACAAATATTAATTCAATAAAAGAATAAGAATTTTTAAATAATTTACCTCAAATACTGCAATAATTTCAGTAATAACAATAGATTGACTATTTTTGCAATAATTATAAAAATCTCCTTTTTTAAATTTGAAAGATTGCAGATTTATTCTTGTATATCAGCAGAATTTATATGTGAAATATTGTGAAAGATTTTGCATACTAAAAATCTTTTGAAATAACTGCAATTGACATGAAATTATTTCAAAAATAAAATAATTTCGCAATATTGCGAAAAAATTGAAATAATTTCGAAATTATTTCAGTTATTTTTCTATAATTCAAAATAAAAATAATTTGAAACAATTCAAAAATATTTAAAATAAATCGAGAAAAAGTAAATTATCAAACTAATAAAAAAGCAAAAACAATTCATCATATGCCGGTTAATCAGAAATATTAGCAGGTAATTATTAATTTGTTATAGATTGCCATATAATGCGAAAGCCTTACTAAGGGTCGCAAGATAGATATCATCATATATTTGGATTTATAATTTTCGTTTTAAATATAAAAAATGGACTTACAGTAATATTTTGATTAAAAAACGTATTGATAACGCGCTCTTCATTTTTCTCAAACATCAAACTGCCTTTAATCGCTAAAAAAATATAAAAGACATATAAGCTAGATAAATTGGATTTATTTTTGTTCATATATAACTCGAAAAGGTACTCATTTTCTGATGAAAGTTTAAGTCCTTTACCTCGAAAAATTGTTTTTAAACCGAAGGAAAAGAGTGAGTTTCACACAGATACGTAAAAAATGACAGGAAACCTCGTGTTTTTGGCAATGTGCAAGAGAGCATACATGCAAAGTTTTAAAGAAAATGCTTTTTTATGTATAAAAAAGCAACAGCCCTAGCGTTACCAATCTAAAAATTTCGCTATCTGGTCGAATTAAAATTCAAGATCAGGTGTAACATAAAATCAAAACAAAATAAACCCAAACCC